AGAACTACCTTGGTAATACTATAGAGGAAAGTATCCAAAGTCTTAGGGAGATTGGAATGTTAGAGTGGATTTATCATGTAAGGCCTGACCACTCATCTTTTAAAAAAAATTTTTTTTTTTTTTTGACCGAGAGACAATGAGAAAAGGAACACAAGCAGGGGGAGTAGGAGAGGGAGAAGCAGGCTTCCCGCTGAGCAGGGATCCCAATGCGGGGCTCGATCCCAGAACCCTGGGATCGTGACCTGAGCCAAAGGCAGACGCTTAATGACTGCGTCACCCAGGTGCCCCCTGACCACTCATCTTCGGAAGATCCAAAGACATATCTCTTCCTTCAACGGTGAGAAATAAATTTGTGAAAGGGAGCCCCAGCATCTTTGAAGAGCTCTTTGGTTGCTTTTTTCTGGAGGTCAGAGTTTATGGTGGGAACTGCTGCCATCGAAATGGGGCCCTTAAATGTAATGGGGATAATGGGACTCTAGGAAGACAGGGGCCAAGTGGCTGCAATTAACTGCCACAGACAAGGTGAGTATGATGACTGTAATGGACAGCAGAGTCACAGTAGTAACCAGAATAGGTTGACCCCAAGAAACCTCTGGTGTTGACCAGTTGATCAAAAGAAATAGGCTGTGTATTAAATTCTCACTTTTATTTTGTATAAGTGGAAGACTTCTAGGTTTAGTCAACAGAAGTTTACTTTGAATCACAAAACAGAGTCTTGGTTCTTCAATTGATTCCCAAACTTGAGCCAGTTTACAGACCCAGAGCCATTTGAAAGAAGGGAAGGCTGGGTCCCCTTGAAGACTGCCCAAAGTGTTATACTGTTAATCTATCTCCTGGTCTTCCACCAAAAGACCTAAGGCCATTTATCAGGGTGACTGCGCATTGAAGAAAGGGAAATAATCACACTTTCCGGGAATACTGGTGGCTGTTTCTGAATTGACACTAACTCCTAGAGACCCAAAATGTCACTCTGGTTTATCAGTGAAAATAGAAGCTTATGGAGGTCAGGTGAATGATGGAGTTTTAGCGCAGGTCCATGGTGTGGGTGTTGGAGGGGATGTTGGGGGGCATGGGGAGGGGGAACTGTGATGTGATCAAGGACCCAGAGAAGAAGAAACCCTACAGAAACCAGAAGGAGGTGAGAAAGGTTTTGCTGGAAGGTGATGGGAGTTAAAATTGGAGTGCTTCAAGAACTAGCCCAAGACATTTGGACTTTATTTAGTGACCATTAGGGTCACACTGCCGGCTTTGAACAACAGGGTGGCAGGAAGTAAAATTCTGTGCTGGTGGAGGAGTGGATAATGGGCAGGGAGTTACAGATGAATGAAAAGATTCCTGATAGTAAGCAGTTTACAGTGGAACGGTAAAGCAAACACAGGAATCAAGGCAGGAGATGATGAAGACCCAAGAAAGGTGCAAAATCAGAAAAGGGAGGTCTCATACCAAAACTAGACACAAGAATTGCAAAACTTGTTTGTTTAGTCAGATGCTTCAGCAATCTGCTTCACCCCAGATTTCTCAGTTCTACCCTACCTCTTATGTTAAATCAATATTCATCATTTGGCTTCAACTATGGCATCTTATTTGCCATAGGCATCTATTCATGAGAGTATTGACATTTGCTCAAAGTTTGTTAACGTAAACTCCTCTGTTCACATTACCCACAACTGCTGTCAAAGCAAGGGTACGAAGAGGATGCAAAATCGCAAAATGAGTCCTCAGATAAGGGCTGCCAGCTCTTGGGAATCAATTCTTTTTGCATTGACTCCCAGAGACTTAGCTGGACCATCGCATTCTTTTGTTATCAGTTAAATGTGAAACTCCTCTGTTTGTCCATACTCTAAGGGCTTGCTACTCAAGTGTGTCCTAGACCAACAACATTAGCATCACCTGGGATCTCGCTGAAATGCAGAATCTCAGGCCCCATCCCAACCCTGCTAAGAACCTGCATTTTAACAGGGATTTCACCCACATCGAAGCTTGAGAAGATGTGAATTAGATGCTATTCCCTTTCCTTCATTCCCTAATACAACTTCATTTGGCCTCAGGTGTTGACAAGGGGTCACACCTTGACTTGACACTGATTTTTGTCAAAGAATCTAGTATTTTAGGACTGGGAAGGATCTTAGGAACTATGTAAACAGAAGGGAACCATGTGATTTACCACTCAAACCAGGGTATTTTCTTTTTTTTTTTTAAAGATTTTATTTATTTACTCATGAGAGACAGAGAGAGAGAGAGAGAAGCAGAGGGAGAAGCAGGCTCCCAAGGAGCAGGGAGCGCGACGTGGGACTCGATCCCAGGACCCTGGAATCATGACCTGAGCCGAAGGCAGACGCCCAACCATCTGAGCCACCCAGGCGCCCCAGGGTATTTTCAAGAGTGAAAGGAAGCAGTATTAAAATATGTGCCAGGACAAAAGGTGAAAAACAGAATTGTTCTAAACAACCTCATGATTGAGCATTTAACTATGAGCTATATTTTTAAAATATAATCTCAAATCCCAATAACAACCTTTCCAAGTGGGTCTTTTTATTTCAGTTTACAGAGATGATAAGTGTAGGGGATTGAACTGTAGCCTTCCAAAAGACATGCTCAAGTCTTAACCTGTGAATGTAACCTTATTTGGAAAAAAAGTTCTTTCAAGATTAAGTATAATTAAGTGAGGGATCTCAAGATGAGATCACCCTGGATGAGGGTGGGTCCTAAATCCAGGATGACCATGTCTTTATCAGAGAAGAGAAGGGAAGAGGAGATTTAGGAAGACTGAGACAATGAGTGGAGTGGTGCTGCCACAAGCCAGCAAATGCTGGGAGCCGCCAGAAGCAAGAGGAAGCAAGGAAAGATTGTGTGTCATTTCTCCCCCACCCCCCAAGCCTTTGGAAGGAGCTTGGCCCTGCAGGCACCTCGACTTCTCGACTTCAGACTTCTCATCTCCAGAACTGAGAAAATAAAGTTTTGTTGTTTTAAGTCATTAAGTCTGTGGTCATTTGTTACAAGGTAGCCCTAGGAAGCTAATAGAGTTAAGTGCAGGGAGTTCTAAGAGCATGAAAGGAAGGAGGGTCCTACTTAGGTGTAATTGAAAGAGCTTTAAGGGCTGCAGGACACGGGGGAGGTGAGGTGAGTGCAGGGAACATTGGGATCACCCACTCTCTCTCCCCTCCCTCTCCCTCTCCCTCATCACTTGCAAAAGTGAGCTTATCTTGGCTCTTCTGTGTTTTAGGCAAGAAAAAGATAGAGAGCTTTTGCACTTGCACCAACTTGCTTTCTGATCTCTGCGGAGAGCTTTGTTGTTAAACAAAATAGTTTCAAACTCACAATCACATCTGACCCGAAAATGAGTCCATTTTACTGATGAGAAAGCTTAAGTACAGAAGGACTAAAAGCTCAAACTTAGAGTTGTCTGTGCTGCAGTCAACCTAAGACCACAAATTAATGTTACCATTCTACCATTCTGTTGTGAGACAATAATTCTTCCACAATAGTGAAAAAACCAAAAACAAACCAAAACCAGTTCATGGAGTTTGGTCGTGAGCAACAGAAATGACTAGGGATTGTGGGCCCCCAGCACCTGTGTCTGGCTAGGTAGAAGAAACCATCCTGATGCTGAGTTGCGGGCACAGGGTGTTTGTTGGGTAAATTTTGGTACAATCATTCAGCATTCCTTAGTCACCTTCCTTTGAGGAAATATAAGGAGAGTAAGAATTTTGCCTGAAGTATACGTGTGAAATGAGTCAATATAATCTTTGAGGTTTTATGCTAAATATGTGTTTGTTTTCAGCAAGGACTTGGGACAGATCTTGGCAATTGTGTCTTCCTTGTTTTTGTAAATTGGCAGGACACACAGAGAAACCAAAGCTTCTTCATTCATAACTTGGTTCTTATGACCAAGTCATAATTGTTTTCTTTCTTAGCAGTGGAGGAGGTTTGTGATACACACCAGGCAGGAGGTGCAGAGAACAAACATTTACATTCTTTGCCTTGGGGCTTCTCTCCTCCTTTCTGCGCCCTGTCTCCTCCACACCCTGGGCAGGGGCAACTTTCTTTGAAGTGTTTGCTATCAACCCTGCTTCAATTCAGTGTGCTTGCCCTCCCAGTTTTTCCAGCTTGAAGTAACACCCGAAAGAGACCTGTGTGTATGAGATTTTGGTCTCTTTCGGTAATGATCTGGAAGCCCTGGGCAGCCTGATCTTACCTCCTACAGTCTCGACATCCCATCTTATGTTCATTCTTAAGAACAGATCAGGTCGCAAATAGCCATAGAGGGTTTTGCCCTTCACTGTTCTAGTAAGGGCTAGCACGGCAGCAGTTCGGGGCGGGGGGGGGAGGGGGGGCGTACTGAATGTCCGGGAGGCGCGCGGCAGCTTGGTGAAGATTTGAGCCAGCCTGGCATTTGTCTGCAGCTTCCGTGCGCTGAGAGTGTTGGATGAGCGGTAGGGCCAGCCGTGGTTGGAATCTTCCCCCAGGAAGACAGCGACCCTCAGCCGAAGGATTCCTGTGCCGGGGACATGGCGGCTGAGTGGGGTAGGCTCCTCCGGGAGAGAACTTTTCCCTCTCCCGACGAGCAAGAGAGAGCCGCACAGCTGCTCAGCTGAGAGAGGGGAGGGAGGCGTGGGAGACTTGGAAGCGGCGCAAACAGCAGCTCAGCGGCGCTCTGTGCCTTTCCCTCTCCCTGAAAGCCCTTCTAAAGAGGTGGTTTTACAGCCATACAAACATGACCTTCTCAAGCGTCCCGGATACGTCAGTAGTTCATTTTGGGGTGAAGAAATGCTAACATTTTGCAGAAAGCTCTGCTCCCTAAAGGACCTTGGCTGGGCGTGCTGGGGGAGGCGGGGCGCGGGGGAGAAGGGAGGCCGCCGGGGCGTGGCGGGGGGCTGCGGCGCTGGCGGTGCTGATCCAACCTGGAAGCTCCCTGTTGGGTGGTGGGGGAGGTGGGGCGAGAGCAGGGCGCAGAAATAGGGCGCCGGGCGCGGGAGCGCAGCTCGTCCCGGTGCTGTGCTCGGCCTGGCGCCAGTTCCGCCCGCGGCGGGTGTGCAGTGGTGCGGTGCGTCCGCAGGGATCCGTGCTCCGGGAGGGCCTGGGTGAGTCAGCCGGTGAGTCGTCGCAGTCGCCACCCAGAGGAAATTAGGCACTAGGGTGGGGCGCGTTCCCGGCTGCGCTGCCCTCCTGGCCGCGCCGCGGTGTCACTTCGCTCACCCCGGCTCCTGTCGTCCGGCCGGCGCGACCAGGTCTGCGCCCGCTGCGGTGGCTTCGGCGCTGGCCTGGGCCTCCAGCGGAGAAAGAGTTAACCGGCCGAGCCGGGAGGAGCCCGAAAGGGAAGGAAGGAAATTGCCGTCGTTCTGAAAGTTTTTTCCTTCCTTTCCTCTTTCCCTGCAGAGGTGAGTGCGAGGAGGCGGCGGCGCTGACTCTCAGGAGCCCGGCTCCGCGCCTCTGCTCCCGGAGCTACTGCCCGACTGCCTGGGGACGGGGACAGCTGTCGCGCTCGGACCTCCTCCGTGGACCCCTTCCGAGAAGGTGCGCCCAGCCATGGAGGGCGCAGAGCTGGCCGGGAAGGTCCTTTCCACCTGGCTGACGCTGGTGCTCGGCCTCATCCTCCTGCCTTCGGCCTTCGGGGTGTCTTTGGGCATCTCCGAGATCTACATGAAGATCTTGGTGAAAACTTTAGAGGTGAGTACCAGGGGGGGATGCGGCGCCCCAACACCTTTAAGGGCTTTAGGGAGAGAGACCCCCGGGCAGTGGTGGCCTCGAGTAGAGCTGCTGAGAGCCGAGTTGAGGCGAGGGGACCGTCTTGGAAGGTCAGCGGTCCCGAGGGGTGCGCGTTTCAGTTTGTCCCCTGCAGTCGCGCGAAGACAGCATCTTGGCTACTCCCGCAGAGTGGAGGGATCCGGGCTGAGACCACGGGACCACCTTGTTGTTCCCCTAGTTGGAAACAGAACCACCTTCACCCACTGCTTTATTGTTATTATTATTATTACTGATTAGAATAACAAGGCAGCCGTCTTTTATATTACAGATTTCTTTTTTTTAAAAGATTTTATTTATTTATTTATTTGAGAGAGAGAATGGTAGAGAGAGAGCACGAGAGGGAAGAGGGTCAGAGGGAGAAGCAGATTCCCCGCTGAGCAGGGAGCCCGATGCGGGACTCGATCCCGGGACTCCAGGATCATGACCTGAGCCGAAGGCAGTCGCTTAACCAACTGAGCCACCCAGGCGCCCCTATATTACAGATTTCTTAATATCCATTATGTAGTGCAGCTGTCCCTCCACTCCCCTTAGTTTTTATAGCCCCGGGTTTCAGAGGTCCTTTCGTGTACTAAGACGTGCTGTCCAGAAAGGCATCATGTTCCAGTTTATGCTCAAGATAAGAAACCAATTGCTCGGCAGTAGAGAGAAATCTGATTATATTTTAATGGAGTCATGGAAATTTTATCTAACCAAAAGCACTTAAAATGTCATTGAAAATGTGTATTCTTTAACCTCCGTTCTCCCTGCACTCCTGCTTCCAAATTCTGCAAAGAAACGTGTTAGATGGAGGTGAGCCTGGTGAGCCTCGCACAGAGCTTAATCAAATCACAGAGGGCTTTCCCCTCTGCTCTTTCATCAGATGCTCCCCAAAGCCTTGGAAATGTAGGGAGGGCCAGTGTTATCCCCTTTTTCCGGGCAGGGAAACAGAGACTCAGAGAAGATCAGTGGTTTGCTTGAATTAAGTGGAGACAGGAGTCTTAACGGAGGAGAGGACCTATAATCTAGTGATGAGGACTACAGACTCTGGATACAGATTTGCTTAGATTTGTTTCCAAAATCAGCTCTGCTTCTCATTTTGTGACCTTAGGGAATTCACCTACTTCTTGTGCTTTATTTTCCTCATCTATAAAATAGGAATAATTATATAACACCTATTTCCATAGGTTATTTTTTTTAAAGCTTTTATTTATTTGAGAGACAGAATGAGAGAGAGAGAGAGAGAGCATGAGCAGGGGGAGGGGCAGAGGGAGAAGCAGACTCCCCACTGATCAGGGAGCCTGAGGCTGGGCCTCGATCCCAGGACCCTGAGATCAGGATCCTGAGATCAAGACCCTGAGATCAGGACCTGAGGCTTAACTGATTGAGCCACCCAGGCACCCCTATAGGGTTGTTTAATGGGTTAACATGTCAAGCATTTTAGAAGGGTGCCTGAAGGTGTTAGGTGCTAAACAGTGTTTGCTGCTATTAATTAAATGAATAATATTATTATTTAGACTCTAGCATCCTTTTTTTCTCTAACTTCTACAGGACTGTCTAATGCGGGTTCTCATTTTTCTGCCCTTATCTTCGGTCTGCCTCCAGGACCTGGCTTTTTTCTCCCTCAGTGAGTGGGGTGGCTCTCAGATACACATCTCTAACCTGCTACTCTCCCACGTGGAGATTACCTGCTAATCTCTCACTTACTAACCTCCTGCAACTCTCTTCTACCTGCTAATCTCCTGTTTTGCCCCAGATTTTTGTTGCACTTTCTTTTTGTGGCTATTTTTCTGTCTAGTCTTAGAAGTTATATTTGATTCTTCATCTTCAGCCCTCCCTCGTGTTTTAAAAGTTCTGTTGTTTCTGCCTGGGAGATACTGTGCAGTTTTTAACCTTTCCTATTGACTTCATACTCTGAATTTGGTCATGCTGCGCTGTGGATTTCTTAGGCTGCCTCTTACTGCCAGATCTTCTTCCAATACTCTCCCGATCGCAGATGATCCTCTTTGGCTGGTGTTCAGAACTCTTTCTCAGAACTCTGAAATGATTGAGTTGTTCCCTCGTACAGCAGTGTCTTTTGGATTTTATACCCCAAGTTAGATTGGAGTAAAGGTAAATCCCACACACTGGCTTCCAGTGGCTGACACCAGTATGTCTTGCTTTAATAATTAAAGGTACAACTAAAGAGATGTCAAGGAGGGAGACCAGCTAGTTGCTGTAAGCCTGGCAAATAACTACTATACTTGGAGGGGATGTATCCAGTTCAGGATCTGGTCTTCAGTTAGGTAGGGCCTGAAGTTTTAATTTTTTGTCCATCTAGAGTTGAAGAGACTTTTAGAGATGTTCTGCTTGTTACTGGGAGATAGAGCACTTACTTGGAAACCAGGTAGATGGCAGCCTAAGGAACTACCCTCTTTGCTTAGAGTAAGTTATTGGGTCAGAGTGATGATCCCCATCGTTTTGGGGATCATTTTGTGGGCCAACTCTGACTTGTCGCTGACTGGAGCGCCTGTGTTTGGGAGCAGCAGGGCTCCTCAGGAAGGAGCTGTGATCCCATAGTGGTGTCTGCTTTAGGCACAGAAGAGGGAAATGGTGACCCAGGGCTTCTTCTTGTCCTTAAGCTAGAACAGCTTTAGATGTTTCACAGACATTTCAGTTAGGAAGTACAGTGGATTGCTTTTTCCTGACTGTAGGGATAATTCCTTTAAAAATTGTGCTGGTTGTTTAGTATTAGGACATTTTTAGTCCTGGACAAATACCCTGCCTTTTTGTCGATTCTGTGCAAAGCCCAGTCCTTCTGTTACTCATTATTCCTTAGCTATTAGTTTTCACCGGATTTGGTTGTTTCTCTAAACTGGTGATTTTCCAGGGGTATGTCATGATTTCTAAGGAGTACATACAGCATTATTACAACTTTATATTGGGAAAATTGTTTTAGGAATTCAAACAATGAAAAGTAAAACTTTGGGGTGGGGACATGTAGAGGGTAGTGCATTTGGATGGTAGGATATACGTATTGGAATCTCTGGGAGGGTGTGTGTGTGTGTGTGTGTGTGTGTGTGTGTGTGAGGTTTTCATGTTTATCCCAAACAGGAACATGGACGGATTTAAGATTAAAAAATGCCATTTTCAACCACAGAAGTTGATGGGGGTGAGGGTGGTGAAGGATTGCTATGCATTGGCCTAAGGCTCATGATTACAGGGAAATAAAGATGGGAAGAGAATATAAATATAGGATCCGTAGAGAAGAAGGTAGGGCAGTGGTATGTAAATTATGTAATCTAACCAGATAACACAGGCAATTGACAAGATAATGAATGTGAATAGACTAATTTTTCCCTCTGCTTTTGAGGAATAAGCTGGAAGCATGGACAGGTTCCTTTGAATTTCTGGCCCTGTGACCTTCTGTAGGTCACTTAAGTTTCAACATGGGTGTAGAGGAGTATGCCTCAGAGAGTTTACTGCATTGGTCAGTGAGGAGAGGTCAAGGAGAGCACTGATAGACAGGCGATGCTCCAGTCTCAGTGGAGTTTGAATTGGAATATTCTTTGGTCTTGTTTTTTGTTTTTTTTGCTTTTGCTCCTATGTGGCTAAGATTTAACCTACCTTCAGATCTTGAATGAGTTAGCATACATACTCAGAGCAGATTATTCTTGTCTTTTATTTTAATTATTATTCTTTCCCTTTACACTTTCCTCCATCCACCCATTAGTTTTTCATCTTTTTTTAAAAGGCATGTCAATAGGTGTCATGTTAATATAATACTTGGGTATTATTCCTGGTGTTGGAAATACAATAAACGTACTAGAAGGCCATGGCTGTTTATGACAGAAAGTAATAATAAAGAAAAGCTACCCAGTCAATGTGCTTAATTGCACAACTCTCTGACAGAGGCTATATTACTCCCACTCTTAGGTCGGGGAATAGAGTCACAGAGTTAATTTGTCCAGAGAGTGGTATACAGCTGTTAGTGGCAGAATTGGGATTTTATTTTATTTTATTTTATTTATTTTTTTTTTAAAGATTTTATTTATTTGATAGAGAGAGACACAGCGAGAGAGGGAACACAAGCAGGGGGAGTGGGAGAGGGAGAAGCAGGCCTCCCGCGGAGCAGGGAGCCCGATGCGGGGCTCCATGTGGGGCTCGATCCCAGGACCCTGGGAACATGACCCGAGCCGAAGGCAGACGCTTACCGACTGAGCCACCCAGGCGCCCCTAGAATTGGGATTTTAATCTGAATCTAGATGCTGAGTTCTCACTTTGCCAAGATGACAGGTCTGTCACGAAACTTTTTTTATGCTACAGTTGGTGGCCTGCTGTTATTTGGATAAACCTAATATTTGAATTTTTGTATGATTTTCCTCCTCTCCTTTTCTCTTTTTAGTTAATTTTTAAATGTCTTTTTAGCGTAAAAGCCGAAAGTTGTAATTATCTACGTGACAGTGTCACATTTTTGCAAGCTTTTGATTTAAGCTTTAAAACTCAGACCTAGGGATGCCTGGGTGGCTTAGTCAGTTAAGCGTCCAACTCTTGATCTCAGCTCAGCTCTTGATCTCAGGGCTGTGAGTTCAAGCCCAGTGTGAGTCTTGATCTCAGGTCAGGTTTTGATCTCAGGGTCATGAAACCACACCCAGTGTGGCGCCTACTTAAAAAATAAGTAAATGAATATATGAATAAAAAGGAAGATACCTTAAAATCAGACTTAACCCTTTGTGTGTGTGTGTGTGTGTGTGTGTGTGAATTAGAGACAGCTACTTTTTGCTTCCCAAGAGGATTTTTAAGGTAAAGGCGAGTGAGAACCTGATGGGAGGTATCTTTCAACTTGTCTTTGTAGGGGGAAGTGAGATGGGAGTAACAATGGGGATTGTTAGAAGCCACCGTCATACTTCAGGATCTTCTTGTGGACAGAACTGCATTTTTCGTGGTTCGTGGAGGCAGATGCTTTCTGAGATAACCTCTGGAAGAGGCTTAGAACTTCTGAAGAGATATTCCCCACCTCTGTCTTTGGGCCTACCTGATCAGTTGGCATGGTAGAAGAGACATAGCTGTTTATTGGAAGATGCACTGGTGGTCTGGAAAAAAGTGATCATTTTGGAAGCTAAATAAATTATGGGGTGTGAAGATGGAGGAGGAAGCCAACATTTTCTACTTTGTGGCCTATTGTGTGGCAGTCATTGGATGGAATACCGTCTTTCATCTTTTATCTTGATACTGTCGCTGGTTTAGGGATGATGAAACCAAAGTCCCAAGAGGTGAAAAATCTCTCCTGAGATGAACCCGGCCAGGAAGTGCAGACCCGCAATTCATATGCGTCCGGCTGCAAAGCCTAGGTGCTTTTCACCTTTCCTTGGGAGTAAGCCCACAGAAGAAAATGGTTCTCTAGTACAAATTTCCTTTGGCATTAAATGACTTCTTCTCCAACCTGAAACTTTGCTAGTCTTGGACACTGTAACTGCATTTTGTAGGACAGACCTTTGGAGTTGCCATTCCAGGAGAGGTTATGCATTCTGACACTTGTCTGGTGACAGAACATGGAGCTCTTCGTAGCACATCATGCTGTATGAGGCACGACCCTGTATCAGTTTGCTAGGGCCGTCATAACAAAATACCACAGACTGGGGGCCTTAGACGATAGAAATTTATTTTCTCACAGTTCTGGAGGCTGAAGTCCCAAATGAAGGTGTTGGCAGGTTTGGTTTCTTCTGGGGCCTCTTTGGCTTGCAGATGGCTGCCTTCTTGCTGTGTCCTCATATGATCTTTCCTCTCTGTGTACAAATCTGGTGTCTCTCTGTTAAATTTCCTCTTCTTAGAAGGACACCAGTCTTGTTGGATTAGGGCCCACCCTAAAGGCCTCATTTTAACTTTGTCACCTTTTTAAAAAGGCCCTGTCTCCAAATGCAGTCACATTCTGAGGTACTGGGGAGTTAGGGCTTCCACATATGAATTTTGGGGGGAGACACAATTCAGCCCATAACAACCTCAAAATATCATTTTTTTCCATCCCATAAGCATGGAATAATTGTCCTAATCTAAGGTAATTGCCATTTCTATAAAATATAAAATCACCTGGCCACAAGAAAAAAGTGAGCTCCAAGATAACAAATGTTCAGTTATTGACAAAATTTTATTTTAATTCTCTCTTTGGTCTGATTATAAATGACAATAGGTAGTAAAGCTTTAAAGTGAAAAACTATGGAAATAAACCTTTACCTCTACTGAGAAGAGACGAGAGGTATGTCTAGAGTTTGAGAATGCCTGCATTAAATCAGCAAGGAAGGAAAAAGGCACAATCAGATTAAGATTGAGTCTTATTATCATTTGTGACTCGCCACTTGAAGCCAGGAAGATTAAGTCTCTATTTATAGGCTCTTCTGTAAGTGCAAATAGCATGTTCCTACTTGGCTCTTTGGGATGTTGTGCGGGGTCCTGATATAGTCAGATCATGCCCTTTTCCTTGACCTTCAGGTATATGTTTTAGGTCATTTAGTCTCTATCCTTCATTGTCTTATTTATTTGAATTTTTAAAAATCTGTTTAATTCCTTGTGAGCCTAGCAATACCTGTTTTTGGCCACTACCATTTTGATAAATTCTTTTTGCTCCTTCAAGGGCACTTAAGTCCTAATTATAATGATCGCAATGCCTTTTACCTCTAATTTCCCACTTCCTCTCCAATCAGTCAGTCTAGACAATGTTAGCTTCTGGAATTGTAATCATCAAAATAATATTTTAATCATTCCTTTTCTAAACTGGAAAAATAGCCATTGGGATTTTCTGGGATGCTGTCAACAAAGGTTTTTGAACTCTGATGTTAATGGTAGATAATTTTGGAAGTGCATAGGAAAAGTGTAAAGAAGAAAATAACAAATCACATCTTGATATATTTCTTTATACTCCTACGTACATTGAAAACAAAAATGGGAATTGATTTTTCCTGTTCTTAAGTTCTCGCAAAGCTGTGGTTTCTCATAATAACATTTTCCCTGTGTATCTCAATGGAGGCAAGTGACCAGGTGGCCAGGTGGTGTCTTTGGTTAGCGATTTCACCACTTCCTTTCCAGCTCCCCAAGTGTAGACTGCCTCCTTCTGCAAGCCTATTTTATTTTATTAGAGCATGATCAGTGACGAATATAATGGTGTATTTGAGCCTTGGAATACTGCTACCTCAGAGGTTTACTAGGGCATCTCGAATTCAGAGAGTGCTGGGGCTTAATGCTTAATTTCATTTCTGTGTAAGTAAGGTTTGAGTATTTTACATCATGTCTATGGAACAGTCTACATTAACAACACTACTTGTTTTTAAACAGTGGGCCACAATACGAATTGAAAAAGGAGTCCCAAAGGAGTCGGGTCTTAAAAACTCAGCTTCTATTGGTAAGTCTTCTTTTTCATTTATGATGGTTAAAAGATATCCAAATTGGATAAATTTACATCTACCCAGTTTGAACTTGAAATAGAAAGCAGTGCATTCTATAGGCCTTGGGTCATTCATAATTTTGTTCTTTATGCAAAATAGCAGCTGCCTGAGTTTTGAATGAGTTTTCACTGTGAAGGTGGTAATAATGTGCTAGTTCATCTATGTGTTCTTATAGGGCATTCTAAAGGCATACATTTAAAGGTGGTTGCCTGTAGTTTTAAAGATGTAGTTAATGGTTTTAAGTAAATGGGTTTAAGAAAATAATGCTAATTGGACTATCTTGGAGGGAAACCTATTTTTGAGGTTTTATTAGCACCTTATTCTAATTTGTGGTTCTCAAAAATGTTCCTCAAGATAAACCCTTTCCTACTAAAGGCTGATTGGTAATGCATGAAATAAATAATTACTCTCCCTGTGAAATAAGCTTGGGAATCACCACATGTGACACCTTGCTTTTGGAAGGTAATATTACATAGTGACAAAGGCTCAGAAAAGTCCTATAGCAAAGACACTTGTTAATTTTTGTTAGAATTGAGTTAAAGTCAACTGAGCTCACTAGTGCCTCTGCCTATTAGTGCTTTGCTGTTGTTCCAATAAACCCTTTTACTTCGGGTAAGAATTTTAAGAATTGTTTAAGACACGGGGCTCATAGGGAAGTAGAATTCTACGGAAGGGATGACTATGAAATTAAGAATAAATAAGTCACTTGACTTAATTAAAAGACTAATAAGCCTTTATGTGTTTTTCAGAAATAATGTAGAAACAATTTTGTGCCCATCTAATTTAGGATTAAAGATAATCAAAATGTCAAACACTTCGCTAGGAGGAATTTATCTTCTGGAGGCTTGTCTGAAAGGAACTGTAGAAACTGTATACCACAATGCATTTTGGAAATAAAGTATTTGAGTGAAAACATCTGCTCATTTTGTGTAATTGGATTGTTATGTTCAAATGATTGAAACAACTAGTAGATCTTTATGTGTATACTTGAACATCAAGTATTAGCACCAGTAACATTTTACCAAGATTGGATATTTCTGGCTATACAGTTGTCAGATACCTTCTCTTGGACATAGCAGATCTACTAATTTTTTATTTTTCTGGGTACATTTTTAAATGTGTATCCTTATGATTTAAGGAGACAACAACTTTATTGCTGGTTTTCTGTTGTGCTTGGTGAGACTTTGGGCTGTCACTGATCTTGAGTGAAATTCTATGGAGCCCTATGGATTGGGGTGGTGGTGGTGCATGTCTTGGGCTGTGAATTTAAAAGGGCACAAGGCTTTCCAATTTGGTAGGTTAAGAGGATTAAAAATCACTAGGTGAGGGTGTTCTTAGCATTGGTTTAGATTTTTTAGCCTGTACTGAAGTGAATATTATCACTTGTTGGATTTTTTTTTTTTTTTTTGCCATGCGTCTATCTTTTCCATGGTACCTCCAGGAAAGAGTGGAAGTGAACAAGAGGAGAAAATATAAATCATAATGGTTTAGAGTAAGGCTAAAGGCTACCAGATTTATCTTCTTTCATTCAGAGTAGCTGTCCTTCCTTTTAGCCGTGAAATTGGCAATGACTATTGCAGTTACTGAGCCTTTGCTACCTGTAAGGTTGATGAGATATCTATAGATGATTAAGCTATGGTTCCTGTGAGGAGACAGGTGTCCGACAGCTCACTGTGATAAATGCTCAAGTAGGTGCATAAGCAAAGGACAACGTGGGATCTAATTTAGTCTCTGATACATGCTGCTTTCATCTCTGTTAATCCCACAACTGTGCATGGGATGCACCTCCACTCCCATCCTGATTTACATCCTGTCTGGGTAGTCCTGGTATGGGGTGTGTGCCTTGTTGACATACGCTGGTGTTTGGAGTCAGCAGAGAGGGAATATCTTCCTCCTAGACAGACTGGCCGAGGGTGATGAAACACAAAACACACAGAGCACTGTGTGCCCGGCTGCTGCAGTCTTCTGCCTCTGGAGCCTCAGGTCTCTGTATGGCTGCCAACAAGAGCTCCAGTCAATGCTGAGCGGGTCAAAGTTGACGCAGGGTAACAGGCAGGCCAAGGGCCCCAGAAGTGCAGGTGTGATCTGGAGATGTCCGAGTGCTATAGTGCTGATGATAGGTTCGGGAAACTGAGAGGGAGAGAGTGGCTAAACAGGGAAAATAGTTATGTTTATTTTCACCAGATATTTCTTCTGCTGCTCTTTTATTTGATGAAGGATATTTTTGGACACACTTTTTGAGTCTCTCTCTCCAGTTAAACCCCTCTTGCATTATATTTCTCTTGTGCTTTTATTAATAAGCCAACTGAAAGCTGAACCTAGGGAAATACTATCTTTGTGGTTAAATCGTTCTCTCCTGTCTTAAGCCATCTTCTGCTGGGTCTCCTTTATTGATTGAGCTTCAGATAGGTTCATGAGCAAGATCTCCTTAAGAAGCCCTGTTATTGCACCTTCTTCTAGTTTTAAGGGCATTTCCTCATTGTTACTACAACACTGAGGATAAATCTTTCTCCCCCTCTTTAAGTAACTATGTTATACTGAACATTCAACGTCAGTGGACAATGTAGTTACCCTCTACCCTAGTTTGTTTTCTGAAGGCAGATGTGCTTCACCACTCCAGCCATGGGACAAGTGAATCTCCTCAGACCCAGGAACATGGTCTGATTGAGATTTTATCAACTTTTATCTTACTCTGTTGTAAATAGTGCAAGGGACCATTGACTGTTAAGAGCCACCCACCTCATCCTTGGATACTGGACTGATTTCGAGGATTTATTGTGCAATAGACTTCAATTAGTTAGTAATTAGGATTGTACTTGTAATGAATGTAATTCATTGTGCCATTTTCAGAACCGGAGATCAGTTCCACTATAAATTGCATTATATTACTAGGACATTTTGAATGCTTAGCACCAAAAGCCAACAGGCAGGAAGAAAGGCCCGAGTTTGCCCTTGTCCTAGAGGTGTCACAAACAATACAAATAAATAGAAGCCATGGCTCAGTCATTTTGGCACTGTCCTCTAGAATGTGCCACTGGCCTGACTTAGCAATATCTGCATGGGAAATGCATACCACGTCCTCAGGTCCTCCCCTTTGCCCCACTCCAGCAGGCACCACACATAGGGATTTGGGGTCACGTGGCCTATTGTTAATTAAACCCCCATGCTAAATTTCTCCCTTGCCCTGTATGTCTTACTGCCGGTCCCCATCTCTTCCACCACCCAAACACACACAGAGGACAAAATGCTATAGTGAAACTTCTGATGTTACACCGATTAAGAGAGAATTCAGGCTGCCTAACATTTCCCTCTGATTTTACTTTTGGAATTCTTTCTGTGAGACTTGATTAACCATGTTGATACTGGTACAACATTGTTTGCATCAATATTAAATCTCTTGCATTTATAGAAAATGTGGGATAATATTTTGTGACAGAAATTTGAATATCATTTTCAATACTCATTTTGTTTTGGGCAGGCTGTTTTGTTTTGTTTTTTTCAGATTTTATTTATTTGAGAGAGAGAGGAAGAGAGCGTGTGAGAGAGAGCGGGGGTGGGGGGGAGGCAGAGGGAGAGGGAGAAGCAGACTCCCTGCTGAGCAAGGAGCCCGAAGCGATGCAATGGGGGGGGGCTTGATCCCAGGACCCCGGGATAATGACCTGAGCCGAAGGCAGCTGCTTAACCTACTGGGCCACCCAGGCACCCCACTGGGCAGGCTGGGGGGTGGGGGGTGGGGGTGTTTGATAGTCTGTTTAAATCAACTAAGTTGATTTAGTAGTATTGTGTTGGTGTAAACTCCCTGAATACAAGTTAGTATCTGCTGTCCTCATGGATACGGAGTGTAATGCATTTAATGGTTATCTTGCTGATAAAATACTGGAACTTGTCTAGCTACTTATAGAGAGAAAAATAATCCAGTTATGGGATATGGAAGGAGTATAGAGTGAGATTTTCCTTATCACTGCCAAATGTCTACCTGCTCTTATTAGTCTGCCTCTGTTCGTAAATCGTGTGCCTGATGGTGGTCATGATGACGATGACAATTTTCAAACATACACGAAAGTAGAGAAATAGTAGAATGAACCTGATATAGGCAATATTTGTCAAGATTTTGCCACACTTGATTCATCTGTGCCTTCTTATTTTTTGCTAAAATAATCAAGGCAATCAATATAAGATTTCATATCTTTTCATGCATTTTTTAAAAAAAGGATTTTAAAAAATAGCCACAGTGCTATTAACTCAAACTTAAGTTTTTAATATCATCTAATCACAGTCCATATATAAATTCCCCTAACAGTTTAAATATGTTTTTATAATTGATTTGTTTGAACCGAGATTCAGTCATGGTCTACAGATATGTTTATTTATTTATTGATACTGCTTTACTGGACATATGGGGTACAGTTTTTGTTCCTGGAACAAAAATGACTTAATAACAGGTGATTCTGAAAAAAATTCACTAGCATAACATAAATTTTTATCCTCACAGCTTAATACAGCTCTGGGCAAGACAAAGTTTTGATCCTTTGCTTTTATTTGTTTGTAAACCATAGGATTAGTCATCTGTATTTCTAAGTGCAATAGTCCATGATATTTGTTACATGAAATTTATTACATGAAATTTTCATATTACATGAAATTTAGTCTATAGTCCCTCACTTCCACTTCTCCTAAGATATCAAACCTATTCAAACTCTCAGTATGTATGTATTAGGAGACTTGCTACAAGTGGATACAAACAGTGAAAATGTGGGGACAATGCAGTCACTCATCAGGAGGAAAATTAATATGTGAGCTGGTTCAAATGAATTAACTGGATTTATGTGAAGAGAACAAAGTACACAAATATTAATGTTGAGCAAAAAGAAAATGTATAGTATAAAAACATTTATTTAAAATTACTACTATAAGCAGATACTATGTAATTATGTAGATAGATGTAGATAAGTATATA